TTCCCTACATTCTCCTTCACTTCTAACTTTCCACCCACCATTTCTTTCTTTCCCAAGGAAAACATGAAGGTAAATTATTTCCATGCCATAACAAAAGTTTCTCACTACTTCCTAGTTTATGTTATGGTTTCCTTCCTTTTCCTTTTGATTAACTTGGAAATTTTCTTCCTTGTGACAGTTCTTCAACTGGGTTCATAAGAGGTTTCATCATCCCCTCCCAAAGGGTAACTTTATTTTTTTTGCTTTTTCTACGTAGTGGAAATATTGGTTATATATGTTGTGTACTTCATTTGTTAAATTTTTTTCGTTCAGATGATTTTGCTCAAAAAGTGGAAAAGAGTACAACTGAAGAAGTACTCCACCACACCAATGACAAGGACACACAAGCATTACTCAAAAAGGTCGTCCTCATCGACGCGCTTGATGGATGGAAATACGGCATTCTTGCAATTGGCACGTTTGGTTTTGATCCTCTAAAACCATTCAACCAACAAAAGGAATATCTGGTTCTGGAGAGCAAGGAAGACGATGAAGAGAGCCCCGAGTACTCGCTCGAAGGCAGTGACAGCGACGAAAACGACGAGTACAGCGATGACACCACCTTTGAGGATGAAGAAGTGAACCCTTTGATGCTTTCAACTCTCGGACACAGTTTCAAGGATGTTGAGAAAAAGGACGTTCTACTTTCCTTTGATGGTGTTTTTCTGGCTTCAAGTGAAGTGGCTGCTGAAGAGAAGACTAATATTTCCCTGCAGAGTGATCATGAGAAGAAGAAAGTTGGAAGGACAACACTGGCTGACTTGTTCCTGGCTGATGCTGATGTTAAAATGAAGATAGATTCTGGCAAAGTTCTTCATGATGATTCTGCTAAAAAAATGAATGCTAAAACCAAGAAGAGCCTCTCATTTGCGAAGAAGTTCATTCCTAAAGTCAAAGAGGAAACAAGCCCAATTAAGAATATACAACGAGTGAGTAATACAGTGTTCTATCTTTCTCTCCCCTTCACCGTCTCTTTTCATGCGGTTTCTCTTTTGCCTTTTGTCTATGGCATAAGGAATATCAAGAATTCTCTAGTAGGGTAAGATAACAAAAAGATTAATTTCATAAATGCTCCTATGTACCACTTATTCATCGAGAAATTATTCAGTGCACCGGGTGTACCACGTCATATACACCCGTTCAATAAGATTGTTCCATTTGGACATTTTGTCTGTCAGTTTTTTACTTTTATTTTTCTCTTTCCTAATAGGTATTCAATGCAAATACCTATTAAGAAAGAGAAAAATAAAAGTGAAAAGCTGACATAGACAAAATGTCTAAATGGTACAATCTCATTAGATGGGTATACCACATAAGCAATATGACGTGGTACACCCGATGTAATGAATAATTCCTCTTCAGCATCTGCATGTGTCACAGATTTTGAGAAAAGTTCATTTCACTCCTAAACTATATAAAAATCCATCAAAACAACCCCTGAAATAATGTAATCCATTATTGCCTTTCGAAATATTGATTTGTGTCAACTTGCCGCTAAGATTTTTAAAAGTAAGTTGACACAAAATCAATAACTTAGGGATAAGTTGACTTAAAATCAATACTACATGGGCATTTATGAGATTATAAATAGTGTTATATTCTCATTTTATTAGTATTATAGACGGAGGGAGTGTTTTGAACTATATTGTATAGTTCAGGGGGTGAAACGAACTAAATTTAAAGTTTTGGAAGGCATGTTGAACTAGAGAACATAGTTTAGTATGACATTTATTAATAGATATACAATTTTAAACTGTTGGATTTTCATCAAGTTCAAATAAATTATCACACTTTTGTTAATTTTATACTTTACTGATGTAATTTCACGGTTTAGAATTGTGTCTGTCTGATAGGCTCGTTGAGGACTACTTTTACTTGGAGGGTAATTGTAATTCACATAGTTGAATATTCCAAGACATGTAAAGTTGAAACTGCCATGTTGTTAATTACATAAATGCATGGATTAGTTAACTGAATTATAAATGCCATAGCTGATGAAGAGGATGTTGAAGAGGAAGATCCATCCAGAGCTGCTTGATGTGAAGACTCAGAAATCAGACGGTCAGAAGGCAGCAGGGGCAATAGAACTTATTGCCAATGGCCCAAAGAATGCTACATCCGAATCAGTTTCTTTGCTTGCAATGCAAGGTGTGCTCTTTTTACTTTCTCACATGAAATGACATCTATGTCTCAACTCTGTGGGTTCTAAGTATTATTTCGCTTTCATTATATAGTGTCATATACATATATAGTTAAAAATGTCCATCTAGACATTTACAAGAACCGAACTTGATCAAAATATGTTTACCATCCAATCACTGTATCAATGATGGTAAAATCTGAGCATAATATCAATAATGTAGTTTAACATTTTTGGCAAAAAAAAAAAAAAAAACAGTTAGTTTGACCTGTCGATGCAAAAAGTTATAGTCTTCTTATGGGTCCTTTATGCATATTACAAACGTTGTCGTATGGTAGTATTTCATGTCGTGTGTGTGTGTTTTTCTCTTTTTGACTTGGAGTATTGACAGCTTTATCTTGCCACTGTGGTAATTCGTCACTAGTCTTTTTTTTTTTTTTTTTTTTTTTTTTTTTTTTTTTTTTTGGGTTTCCTCAAAAATTACAAGTTAGGTCAATGATTAACGGAAAATCCATGTGAAACAATAACAATAGCAAGCTATCCACAGGTTATGGGTCCTCTTATAAATCCAAAAGTAACTCCAAAGATAAATCCACAAAGAAAGTGCCAAGCATTAGATTCCAATCACTCGGCCATTTCATATATGGTTGTGGTGGTAAGAGTTTTCGTGACATGTCTCTGCCACCTTTTCTAGTGTGTTTGTGGGGATATAGTTAGGCCGGACGATAAACTTATATCTACTAGGGATGTGATCAGAATCATCATGCTTGCTTGTTACTGAAATCACCACACCCTTTATCATCTTAGGCCTTGTCTAATTTTCATAATTACTTGGGATAATTCCATGATAGGGAATGAAAGGAAAAAAAAAAAATTATTGATATGTATTTTTGAGATGCGGATAATATCATATTAAAAAAAAATGATAATTTGACGCCTTATAATTGTTTCTTGTCAGTAGGGTATTCTTTTTCTAGTAGGGTATTGATATACATTTCTGAAATGCAGATAATACATATTAAATAGATAATAGGTCTATTTGTTGATTTCTAATTCTCCTTAAATATTGTGAGATTCTCTTAAGTAATATCTTGAATCTATACCCTACTAGAAGGACACCATTCTCAAACATTAGATCACATTAAAATCACATCATGTTAAAAAAGTATGACAATTCAATAAATCTTGATAAATATATGATCGTATTAAGTTAAAAAGTATGACAATTCAATAAATTTGGATGAATATTTGACATTTCATAATTACATCCTATGCTTTTTCATATACCCTATCATAAAAGTTTCCAATTACTCTCTTAAGTAATATATTCAGCTTAGTTTTATGTAGAATTATGTGGTAGGATATAAAAAGGACTCCACAGAGAAGACACGATTCTCAACGATAACATGATCACATCATATTAAAAAAAAAAAAACAGAGACAATTCAATAGAATTTAACGTTCAGAATTAAACCTTAATTATTGTACCTTTTTCCAATAAAATTCTCTTAATTTTACTTTCAAAGAAAAAAAACAACCAAGAAAATCTTTAATCTTTTTTAGATTTTATTTTTTCAAACTCTGAGCTTATTGATATAAGCCATCTCTTTGCTCCCTATCCATGCAGGTGCAACTTCTGAGATTTGAGCGATGGCCTGGCTCCATAGCCAGAATTGAAGAACTATGAGCTTATTGTTGTTGCTATATGTAACTCTTCAAGAGCAATTCTCACTAGCCTTTCGTGTATATGAACTCGTTTGTTAGCAGTGTGATCTTGATATTCTGTTTAATTTGTAATTTTTCTGAATTGTTTTGGCTTTTAATATATGTTGATGAATTGTAATAAGTTCTCGTGTTGTTAATTATTTTAGCAGTTTCATCCTTCAACTTTAAGGACAGTAGTAAACATCTATCCTTAGTGCGCATTTTTAATATTAAACATGATAAAAATCATGTCAAAATAATAAAAATATACAAAACTGACAGTTTTTAATAGACATAACGGTTAAAAACTAAACACCGATAAGATATATTTTATACCCTATCCAAACTTTAAGGGCATGTTTGGAATGGCTTCAAAAAAAAAATTTTAGCTTTATTTAGTTTAAAAGTTGCTTTTAGAGAGAATTTTAAGTTTAACCATTTTTTTTTTTTTGGTTTAGATGAAGACTTTTAAAGTACTTTTAGTTTTTTATAAGCTTTTTTGGAACAAAAGACATTCTTGATGTTTATGCAAAAAAAAAAAAAAAAAGTGCTAAATTTTTTTTTTATTAATTATGATTTTGACTTTTCATTTATGAATGACAAATTAAAAATTTCATTACTTATTTTTACGATAAGAGCTTTTGACTTGTTTAACTAAACAGGTTCAAAAAAAATTTTAAAATAAAAAGTTCTTTTTCATAGATTATTTAAACAGTAATTAAAAAATCGTGTCTTATATAAAAACGCAAAAATTATCTCAAACAAGTCCTAAATATATTAATAATTCTTCTGACTCTGTTGATGCAACGACAAGCAGGCATGATCATAATGGCACAATTCACCAGACAAACAGAAGGCTCGCCTTAACTTGGTTTTGTAGAATTAAAAAACAGACATTGTTTCTCCCCTTGATACTTGATAATTCCATATTACAAAAGCTAAGCAACAAAAGTATGTTGGTTTAATGTGGATTGGATTTGGATGTATTGCTTGGTCATAATAAATGAATAAAACAGCTTTAATTTTTGGGATTGATGATATGTTTAATTACAAATACAATTTGTCAAATCCATATTGTGATTAGTGTTCTTAATTATTGGTTTTCGGAGGCCTTTTTGACAATAAGCTACAGCAACAAAAAGGTTTCCCGGTGGGGCCGGGATTTGGCCTTGCATCAATAATAATGAACCAAAATAGGAATAGGTTATCATGCTATGGTTTGCCTTTGCCTAGTTCTTTGACTTTTATTTTCCCCTCCTATGTAAAAGCAAGCCTATTATCTTGAAGTTTTTGATAATAACTATAAGGGGTACCCAACAGTGTGTATTACTTATTAATAGTTTAAATTAAATCAAGAATAATTATCAAATTTAATAATTTTCGAAAGCAATTTGTTCTTGTTTCAAGCATGTTTTAAATATGGTCAAGGCCTCCAGCCTTAATGTCCCCTTGGCCCTTTGTCTGCGCAAGAAAAGGTGAACTCATGGAATACCGCTTTTATAGAGTTCGTATTCCAATATATCAATTCTCCAAGATAATATACACAACTCAATTTATACATATATTTAGGGCACTATCGGTGTTAAACACTATCAGAAAGTAAATTTTGAGCTCGTTTATTTTATTGATTCGAGTTAAGATGTGACTTTACGTGAGAACTTTTTACTGTAACAAAAAAGTTAGATATGACTGTTTCTAAAAAAATTTTACTGTAATAAAATTAGAATTTTAAATTCAAATCGATAAAATGAACGGGGTCTTTATTTATAAAATCTCTAAATCTCACGTCACAGGATCTATTTTTAGTAATAGAAGGTGTTCAGTGTCCTATAGCTATAGTTCCAATACATTAAGATTAAACAACTCAACGCACAAATAAAAAGGAGAAAAGTCCATGTTATATAGAGCCCAACCTAACCCAATAATGGTATTGGTTCTTTTCACTTAATTTCTCTCTCTCTCTCTCTTTCAAAAAGCAATCAGTGCTAATTCGAAGCGTAGGATATGGCAAGTAATTCGGTTAAATACAATTTGTCAGAGAAGTGTTTCGGTAAACTAATCAAGAGAGCAGCAACCCATTACAGATGTCAGATTGTTTACCAAATAGTAGCTTTGACTCTTCCAAAATACTAATTACTTTTCAACATGGGAAATTTGATCTCCAACATTACATGTCAACTTGGGAGAGCGATTGAGCTTGAGATCTTACCTTTTGTCCATTTTTTTGTTCTTTGAAATTGAAGAAATGAAAACTCGAGTGATCCCACCTCAGCCTGTAGATTTTCTGTAAAGAAAATGACGTGTCGTTTTCATTAATCTTCCTTCATATTAAATGTAGTTTACCTTACCTTGGAAACGAGGTCATTGTTTTGTGTTTGTCTACAACGAGAGATGCCATTTTCCTTTGTCTCGTTATCTAGGGTATTCATAGAATCTATCAATCCGACTCATTCGCATAATCTAATCTAATTCGGCAGATTTAATTAGATGGAAAGAATTTTAAATTGATAACAGATTAATATTTTTTCTATTCGCAATAAAAGATCAGATTGTTGATTGCGTAATTTTTAATACCCATAATTCATCAAACAGAACTATATATTATATATTTTTTATATATGTTTAAATGACATATGTAACATATTTATACAATTTAAGTATATATGTAATTATGTGTGAAATCCTCAAGAGAAAATTATAAGTTTAACTATTATTTTTTCTAATTCAATTATTTATGCTACTACACAATTTTGATGCCACCACGGAAAATAATCTGCATGATACGAAAGACAACATGCAGATTAAAAAAAAAAAAAAAAAACCATACGGGTTACGAGGCATAACCTGTACGTTATGAAAAATAACTTACGACTTACGAAAGATAATCTACAGGTCATGAAAAGATAATCTACATATTATTAGTGGCAAAGATAAATTTAACGACATTAATAGAAATAAAATAATATTGCTGCATTTTTAAAAATGATCAAAATCTCAATATTTACGGCAAATTTAATACAAAGCTCAAGCCCAAACCAATGTCCCAACACTTCACTTTTTGGGTCCAACCCATTTCAATTCTCAGTAGAATAAATAGAACCCCAACCCTAATCAGTAATCAATCATGCTGCCACACCAGCCTAACCTCATTCTCTCTCTGTTAGTTCCTCATTCTCTCAACTAATGTTATGTGTATTTAATTTTGTTATTAATTTGATGAGAATATTGAAAAAAAGATGGGCTGCCGATGTTCAAAACATAAGTTAATATGTGAATCTGCATAATTCAATCCACGGAATCCGCTGTGGATTGGATTGGAGGTTTAACGGATTAGTGATAGATTGAGATTCAATATGTAGTAACATATTGGATTGCAGATTAATCCCTAATCCACGTAATCCTTTACGTGAATACTCCTATTGTTTTCTTTCATTACACTCGCTTAAGATGTTCAAACTTCATAAAAATAAAAATGTTGTTTTCACCTGTAACTGGACATGACGTGTAGCGTGCTTCTATAAATCATAAATGTCTAGCGTAACCTTTAGGGGTAGGGATTATGGAAAATTACATGTCGTATGGTAGGGTCAAGTAACACATGACATCCAATGGCTAATGTATTGTGTTGCTCCTAACGACGAGTAGTTTTATTTGCTAATGACGACAAGTAATTTTTTTGGGGCTTATTACGTTGAGAGTCCCTGTATTTTACCAAAATAACAGAGACAACCCCTTAACCAAAACAATTTACGCCAACACTCACACTCTAGGTCAAATAAGGAGAAATTCCGGTTTGGACATATAGCATTGCTTTCAACAAATTTGTTTTTAATATTTCAGATATTGATATGTCATTTTTCTAATAATCATGACATCAACTTTTATTTTTATTTTTATTTTTTGGTTTGCTAATGAACTTTTAAATTAATTTGATCAGTTTTTTTTTTTTTCAGTATTATAGCTTAGTGGATGGAGAACATCTCAATATAAATTGTCTAATAGTATTATTATTACAAAGGGATTTTTGATGAATAAAATAATTAGAAACAACATATTTTAATGGCATTTCTTTGCGCTGTTACAGTGAAAACTTATAGTTAAAAATGTGAAAAAATTGATTAAGTTCATTTTTTATGTTAAATATGGGTAAAACCAATATTTCGAACGCTATATATGGTTAGAATACATGGAAGGGTATTTTTGACATTTAAAAAAAATTAACGATCAATAATCATGGTTAACTAACAGAAGGAGTGTCTCTGTAAAGTTTTAAAAATGTCAAAGGTTGTCAACGTGATTTGTTTTGGTCAAGAAGGTGTCTCTATATTTTGATAAAACACAAAGGGCGTCATTATAAATTGCCCCTTTTTTCCCTCGTTTTCCTATTGTTTTTGTTTTTGGTTTTATGAATGTCATAAATGAGGACAAAAGAAATATAATTATTTTCATAAATGCCCTAAACAATGTATCTTGTATTAAAATGTCCCCCGACTTTACAAAACATGTCAAAACGCCCTCTGATTTATAAAAAAGTGTCAAATAACTCTCTCCGTCTAGTTCCGTGTATCAATTAAACGGAAAATGGATAAGTGGCATGGTTGTTCGTGTTTTTTTACAATCCCTAATACCCTTTCCCCCAAATCATTAAAAACCCTATTAAGAACCCTAACTCCATCTCTTTAACCAAAAGAAAGAAGACCGAGCTCCTCTGTGTACAATTAGCCTGTTAGTTTCCCTGTTCTAAGATTTAACTTATCTTTGCATCAGTAATTGATACAACAACCAAAAAAAAAAATGAAGATCTTAGACGAAGAGCTCAGTAGGGTATTCATGTTCATATCCGTTATAATCATAATACAATCTCTCTCTCCTTGATATATCTCTGTTGGCAATCAGTAGAACCCGACACTCCCCATTCACATCAAATCTCACACATTTCAGGTTCTGCTTCTTTTTCCCTCCCCTGCCAAACAAAACAAAACAAAACAAAAAAAAAAAATATCTTGCAATCAGATTAACCCAATAACCATAGGAGCTGGGTTTTTTTTTGTTTTTTTGTTTTTTTTGTTTTTTTGTTTTTTTGTTAAAGAGATGGAGTTAGGGTTCTTAATAGGGGTTTTAATGATTTAGGAGAAAGGGTATTAGGGATTGTAAAAAAAATATGAACAACCATGCCACTTATGCATTTTTCGTCCAGTTGATACACGGAACTGGATGGAGGGAATTATTTGACACTTTTTTATAGATCGGGGAACGTTTTGACTTGTTTTATAAAGTCAGGAGATATTTTGACACAAGATATATAGTTCGGGGGCATTTATAAAAATAATCGAAAGAAACACAAAATAAAATAGACTTTAGATGAAATTTAACAAATACTAAAGAATGGAAAGGATTCGTTGCATAAGCTAAAAAATAAAATAAATATACAACTTATTCGGAAATTTTCTGCAACTGAAAAAAATATTGGCTAATCATACTATTCAACAATATATATATATCGAAAACTGACGTTAGTTTTTAAATGCTTTCATAGGTATCATTTAAAAAGTTAATCCTAGTTATTATTCTGTAATCAGGATTCTTCTTGAATACACACACACACATATATATAATATATAATCACTTGATGTGGCTAGAGAAGATTACGATTTTTTTCTTCATGGACGGTGATGAGCATGCATATGAATGTTTTTGAGTGCGTCTGATCGAGTAAAAGGTTATTTTGGTTTAAATTTGGTGAGTTTTGACTTTGAATAGGAAAATACTGAAAAGTGAGAGAGCATGAAGAAAACGAGATTCCACCTAACAAACCCGTACATCTAGAATGAAGAACTCCGGGGGCACAATATTCTTTTACCGTGTTCGTTTCACAGATTTAAATTATATGAGTTTAAATCTCTAATTTTAAACTTATATATGAGTTTTTTGAAGTTCGAATTAGCGTTTAGTAGTATAAGGTTTAAACAGATAACAAAGTTTGAATAAGTATTTAGTTACATTACTAAAACTATGAGTTTTTAAAGAATGTGAGTGAAATTGATTGGTGAGAACTTTAGATTAAGTTTTGAACAGTCAATTAGTTTAGAACCTTAATTAAATTTTGAACAGTAAATTAGTTTAAAACATTAAGAACTTTAGGGTGGTAAAATTAACTTCAATTTTGGGTTCAAATGAACCTTAAACCCAAATTCAAGTTTAAAATGTCATGCATCTAAATATCGGTTCAAAACACATTTGGGGATCAAACCCTCGACAACCTTCCAACTAAACAGATATTTATTGAATTTTTATGAGAAGACATGTATTTTTACGCTGCTAATAGAAGATGTTTTTAATTGTTGGATCTTAATAGTAAGATTTGTATATGGCAGTATTAAGAATTTACAGCACACAACGCTTAATTGTCTCTACTCTATCAAACTATTAAAAAATTAATCTAACAACTAAAACACAATTCTTACCACTGAAGCAAAATAGTCTTATCCACCGTGAGTACACCCTTCAAATAAACCTTGTGATAGATACTCCATGATATTAAAATTTTCCGTGAAAGCAAATGAAGAGTTAAAATTATAAACTTGCTCGTTTGGTTTGCTAATATGAGTTTTTAATTCGAGTTGAGATGTGATGTTGTGTGAGAGCTTTTTACTGTAGTAAAAAAGTTAGATGTGACTATTTCTGAGAGCTTTTTATTGTAATAAAATTTGAATTCTAAACTCAAATCAACGAAAAAAACGGGAAGATCTATTCAATTCTTGTGCTATCAACAATTATAAACTAATGAAATAAATATGAGTTTACATAATTTTCGTCTACAATTGGATCTTCAGCGGTCAATCAAATGAAAATCAGTTCCTAGAGGATGAAGGGTTATCTGTCTCATCAATCAGGAATCGATTCATCTCATCTGTAGTGAGGATGTAATTATGTATTTTAGTTGGACTTTCCGAATATGAAATAAGTCTGATGTGACTTGAGAGTCTTCGCTGTGGACGAGAGTAGTTTCATTTATTTTATCGATTTGAGATTAAAATTTCAGTTTTGTTATAATAAAAAGTTTTTAGAAATAATCACATTTAAATTTTTTTATTATGATAAAAAATTTCACATAAAATTATATCTTAACTCAAATTAAAAATTTAAATTAATGAGCTAAACAGACTCTAAATTTTCTTTATCGTTCGACATGTAGTCTTAATAGATTTTTTTTAAGTGTTTGAGTTAAGAAGTGACGACACTGCTATCTCTTTTTCAACTAAAAAACATGAAAATCAGTTCCTGCAATTTTAGAAACTTTTTGTCCTGGTTTCTTACTTCCGAGGGTGTGTGACATCTTCCCATTAGCATTTCTCAATCTCAGGGTGGGATTTTCATAGAAAGAAGGTTGCTGAATTTTGACAAATTAAATAATAGAAATGAAAAGTCAGTTATCTTTTTTAATGGACAATTAATTAATTAAATTATATACTAATATACTCTAGGAGGCAGTTTTTTATTGTCTATGACCCCTCACTTTTACTTTTACTGTTTTGCCATTAACTTCTTGTTCCTTCATTGTTTTTTGTTTGGGCATTTTAGTTATTTTTGTGAGGATATTTGGTAGAGGGATTCGTTCCCTGATTCGAATCATAATTCGTGGTTCGTTACAGTATTTTCTCTCATACAAAATTTACATAAATAAAAAATAATTCGAATCACATGATTTGAATCCTCTAACCAAACGAACTCGACTTCGTTTCGTTGTTCACACTCACTAGTATAAACTAGAATAGATCTGGGGTCAGTCAGTGCAAAAATGCCATAATAATGGATTTATAAAGTAAGCTAATGGCCAAACTGCCAAAGTACAAATAAGAAAACGCTATATAGTTTTAAAAAAAAAAAAAAAAAAAAAAATCTTCCTTCAAATAGCGAAGCAAAGTCTGAAAAGCAACCAAAACGCTCAAAAGGAGCTTCTTTGTGCCTGAAGACTCTCATCTTCAGTCTCATGTAAGAGAGAACCTCCCCATCAATTTTATTCTAATTTTCTCAAGCTATTTTTCAGACTCCACGGCTCACATCTAACATTTTTATTTCTGGGTTTTCTTTGTTTTTTGTTTTTGTTTTTTATTGACTTTCTCTGAACAGAAGAAGGGATAAGATGGCTCGAGATTCCAAAGTGTTTGCCTTTGATGAGGTGGCCAAGCACAACCATAAGAAAGATTGCTGGATTATAATCTCCGGAAAGGTCAGATCTTTTGTTTTGTTTTGTTTTTCTCATATCTCTTTTAATTATTTATCCCTTGTTTGTTAATCTATGGATTGTGGGCATATGAACTGATTCAGTTTCTGGGTTCTTTTTCTTTTATTAATGCATATTGAATTTCATATAGAATAGAATATGTTGGGTGTTGGTTAAAGTCGGGGTTTTTTTTTAGGAGCTTATCTTTTTAATGTGTAGCTTTTAGTTGCTTTTGCTTCAAATCAAAGATTGAACATAGCAAAAAGCATAAATTCGTAATTTGTACTGAAAAGGAAAAAAAAAAAAAAAAAAAAAAAAAAAAAAAAGGAAAAAGGGGCTTTGTATTATTGGTTGGGAAAGACGCGTCGAAAGCAGTTTTTAGATTTTTTTTTAATGCATTATTAAGAAGCATCGAATTCTACTACCAATCAATAGACAAATTACATGGGAATTTTAGTACCATAACTAATATTCTACAAGGAAAGGTGGTGAAGACCAAATATCAATTATAATTGTACTTGAAATGAGTAACTATGTCATATTTTGAATTGGAACATAGATCATGGAAGCAGACTAGTATTTTGTTTTGTTTTTGGCATGATATTCAGATATGTGTGTCGAAATTTTTTTTAAACAGTTTCCTTTTTGTATTATAAGTTTACTGGAAGCTATAGGTTGTATTTATCAATCGCAATTTAATCTTCTTTGGTACGGACTGAGGTCAAGAAAAGATCAATAGCAACCGCGATCTGTAAGGTGTTAGGAAACCCGGAAATCTGAACTTAACTATAGAGGTTCTTAAGGAAGAAGATGACCTCTGATTATATTTATTGAATGAATGGAAATGCAAACAAGACTGAGAAAAAGGAAAATAACAAGATAGAAGGGAAGTTTCGAGGACTCCCTAACCTCCCAAGACACCAGTTCGAACAAATGACGGATTCCCTGCCCCACACTAACTCCTTATCCCTCTTTTATACTGATAATTGCCCTCTAATCAACTAAACCCTTTAACTAACTAATACACTACTAACCTATACTAATCAGGGCCCAAGGTCTATGGAGAAGTAATTGGTTGTTAAACTTTATCTTGAGTTAAATCCCTGTGGCGATTAGTTGGATTTGGATATAGATCTTTATTAAATTGAACTGGATGTGTGTTCTCTTATCTACATATTAATCACCGCCAATGATAGTTTGTGATCTTAAATAAGAAGAGGCAAAAACATACAAATGGACAAGGATGGAAGAATTTTTAATAGGTTTCATTTGCAGATCATTTTGAAGGTATAGACCATTATCTAGTAATGTCATTCTAATAGGCTGTTTACTTAAAATTTTAATACACATTCCGAGACTAGTGATTCTCTTCCTCTCTCACCTTTTTGTATCCCTTCCGTTTGGCTCGCTTATGCTTAGATCTTGCTACATTTTCTCCTTTACAAACTACGTCTATTCCTGTGACTTTTTTTTTTTTCCTGGCTTTGATTTTTTTCTCATACCAGTGGGATTGTGATGCGCTACCTTGACTGAATTAGTGAAGCTCAAGTGATCTTTTTGGACGTCTTTCTTCCTTTGACTACTGTTAGACTCAATACCGCTTATGAAGTCTAGTTATTCGCCCACAGCACTTTTATGCGTAAATTAGGCTCAAATCTTTTTGCAGAACTGGTATATTCGAATATCAACTCTCTGAAAGTGGCATTCCTCCAATTCCCACCTTTGATTATTGTTGTCCATTATATTTTAAAAGTTAGGAAATCTGGTTGGTCTGTGTAACAGGCCAAGTTAAGAAAATAATACAGATAAGAAAAATCATATAATCCAGAATAGTAAACCAAATGGAAGGTTACTTGGCTGTGTTTAAGCAAGCTTTTGATGAATTCATTTGAGGGAGAATTGTGCTCTTCCTTTAAGGTTTTAGTCAGAGAAAGAATGAATTGGGCCTCAGTTGTTGAATTCCTGCATATTCTGTGTGTTGTTTTCTACATAAAGAAAGGGAACATAAGAAATTTTGGATGTTTATATGGGTGTTTTCTGGTTTCTCTTCAACTCGAATTTGACATATTTTCCAGTAACAAATCCACCAAACTTGCTAGTGCTCTTGAATTTTGATTCCTTTTCTATCTTCAATATGTTTATTTTTTTGTTTATTTTTTTGTGAAGACTGAAGATCACTATCAACACCTTCTAGGTTTTGATGCCTTTAAGCCTTGAACGCTTCATCTATTTCCTTCAAGCTAATCATCTCCTAGTTACTTCAGGTATACAATGTGACCGAGTTCTTGGAAGAACATCCCGGTGGTGATGAAGTCTTGCTACTAGCAGCTGGTATGAATGTGCGCTTCCTTATTATAGTCGTCTCATTAATCTCTTTAACTTTGTCGTAACATCCAATGTTGAAACTTTCAATGAGATGGTAGAACTTAGAACTTCATCTGAGTGACTTGCAGAGAAAGATGCAACCGATGATTTCGAAGATGTTGGCCACAGTGATACTGCGAGGGAGATGATGGAGAAGTACTACGTGGGCAAGGTTGACGTTTCCACTTTACCAGAGAAGCCGAGTTACAAGCCGCCCCCACAACCTCCTTCTCAGTCCAACCAGTCTTCAGGTGGTTCGGTGAAGATATTACAGTTTCTTTTACCCTTGTTGATCTTGGCCATAGCATTTGCTCTGCATTTCTATGGTAAAAGTAAATAGAAAAATAATCGGACATTCTTTATCCGCGTCCCATACGACTGCAGTGAGCCAGATTTAATCTATTTTGTTACGTGATAATAATGGAATTTTAGTTAACCACCTGTAGTTTTTTGAATGTTTTGTGCTATCCTTTTGTTCAATGTGAACTCACAACAATCCAAACGTTGTCTTGGCCAGTGTCTTCCTTTAATGCGGTTATGGTGTAAAAATCATTGTCATTTTCAGCTGAATTACTATGGTTTTCTCCATTATCTTCACCTTCATGGCATGATTAACATTAGTTGATCACTCGGTTCTTAGACTTAGCTTTGCGTCTTTGGGTTCAGAAATTTAGACGACATGTCGTTTAACTGAAGGGCATATTGTTATTGGCCCCAACACGTCATTTTTGGCGCCCAAACTCAAACAAAATGCCTATCAACGTGTTTTAGGGTAGAGTGTGTAATCATGATAATTCTCCCTATAGATGGGCTGAAGTGGGGAAAAATAGGAGAAAGAAGTAAAAGTTTTACAATAAATGAGTAAAATAAACAGTAGGTTTTAAAATATTCAAAATATATAGCAGTAAATAAAAAATTTAAATTATATTTACTCCATAAATTATCTATTTAATATTATTTACTTTAAATATTTTTAAATATGCTATTTATGCACTTTAGTTTCGTAAAAAATGATATTTACTATAATTTCTTTAAAAAAAAGTCACTCAGTAGAAATGTAGCATGGTTAAAAAGGTTTGACGAAATGTCATGTAAAAATGGGAACGACATGCTATTGAAAACTGTGTACAAACGACATCGAAATCTGGAAACGATAAGAACCTGAAAACTAGAACAAAACCTCAAAACGGTACTAACTTGTAAAAGCCGACAGCCACAGAAACAACAGGGAAGTGAAAAAATGACTACTAAAAGTGGCGAGTAAAAAAACAAAAAAATGGAAATGACAAACACCTGAGAAACGGCACTAATATTAATTAACAACAATAAAATAATAAAACGACAAAGAAAACACGTTAAATGACAAGAACGTAAAATCGATGCCGAGTTGTAAACGACAACAATAAGAATAAACGAAGGTAAATTTCAGAAAACGACAGAACCTGATGCGATGGTAACCAATATGTATGACGATACTATACTTTTTTACCCCCTCCAAAAAAAGTACTAGTATCGTAAAACGAATAGGGCCAAATAACCGACGGGAAAATAATGGAACGACAAACATAACAAGAGAAAATTTTGTAGAAACGACAATAATCATGAAAACGACAGAATAATGGAAAACGACATAAAAATTCACAATTGATTTTTTCAATAAAAAAAGGCAAGATCTTCTTTTAAGCATTCAAGCATCTTATGTAAGACTGTACATTTATCAAAGTCTAATAAGAATCAGAAAGTGCCTAAAGAGAAAACTAGAATTGATATAAGTTTATACATTAAGCTTCCTACTGCTCTAAATCACATTAAATTGAAAAAGTATACAGAATAAAAAATTTCTGATACAAATCTATTAGCTTAAAAATAAAGATCTACTTATAATTTATTTTTTCCAATCTTATCATAAATAATCCTTTCTTTTCCCTCTTAGCTTCCATTAAGATTGGAACCATATTCAAATTATAAAAAGAGTCGGCATACCATAAAGCTTTGAGAAATTGCTAAACTTAACATTAAAGTACATGAATTAAAATTTTTATTTTATATTCTTAATTAATACTCTTTTAACTAATATAATTATTATACTAAAATATATATTAATTAAGAATAAAATACAAAAATTATAACTCATTCACTTAAGTATTTGTCTTTTTTCCTATAAAGCTTTTCATAGGCGTACCCTTTTGCTAGGCTTTGAAGTGTTGAGCTGTTTGGCCACGTATAATTTGTCAAAACCAATACTAAAGACAAGATTATTGTCACGCGCCATGTTCATTGATGAGATATTGATTTTTTTCATGCCGAAATTTGTCAGATTGCTTAAAAAGTAGAAATTATTACGATAAAAATATCAAGATCAAAGCAACAATTACTTCTATTTAGTCTGTTGATTTAAATTTTTAATTTAAATTAAAATATAATTTTATGTGAAATTTTTTTATTATAATAAAAAAATTAAATGTGATTATTTTTTATTATAATAAAATTTAAATTGGTAAAATAAATGAGACTTAAATACTCACATATTAAACCACGTGTCTTTACCAAAGTCGGACAAGCGTTAGTTTTCTTGCATGGGATACTTTTCTACTTAGTTTGGCATGTTTTTGGTCAACTAAACTTTAGTAAATAATCTTGAATAATTCGGTATGTTTTTTCTTTTTACAAAAAAATATATATTTACACTAATGGAGACACACAATTTCACGACACAAATCGACCATAAGAAAAATTCAGTAATTTCACGACACAAATCGACACTAATAGAGTTTTGTCATATTCAGCATTAAAAAACATGCATTACCAGTTAAGTAATAGTATATTATCATACTTTTAGTAAACTCAAGGAGGGAAAAAAAAAAGAGAGAGAGAGAAGAAGAAAGGAAAAGTTATAATGCTTTAATGCACAATGTGTTAGAAATTCACAATCAATAAATGTAATCCTGGCCCTATCAAATCCATAGAAAAAGGGCAGAGAATCTCTTCTGTTTTAAAGATGGATAGTGCTAGTATTCCTTTCGTTTTCAGCAAAGACAAATATAAGTAGTGGAATAGTCAATAGAATATCTCTGTTATTTGGTTTCCGTTGTTCTTTCTTTTTCAGCGTGTCAATAAAATGTACTGACACATCAAAGACAAAGAATTACCCTAGCTAGATAAGTCTGTCGTATCCAACAGTGATCTTATATATACACATCATCTAAATAATATTGCCGGGCCTAACAACATTTATAGTTAAAATGTACATTTTCTGTGTATGATTTTGTGACTCGGCAAGATTCGTGGGATATGTTGTGTTCTCAGATAATTTGGTCGGTAGATCAGATGTCACCGACAAACAAGTTCACGAACATGAACAGCCATAGGAAAAGACTGTTCAACAAAAGGAGAAGTTGTACAGTAATTAAGTGAAAATTTCTATATATGATACTACGTAAAAAATGAAAAATACAATTGTACTGCCTTATGAGTCTTCACTAACTACTTTGGTAGTGGAATCATCCCCTTCAGCTACCAAACTTTGAGGCACCACTTAATAGGTTGTAAATAATTCAGTCACTCAGTTCCATTATATATCACACTTCTGGAAAGACATAGTTTTTAGTTCTGTTAAATTGTTGTATTTATTTGATATAATATGGTGATCTAGTAAAAAAAATTACTAAAATTTGATATGATGGTTAAAAGTTGTGTCTCATTAATAGGGTATTTTTTTTATATACTTTTAATAGATTAAAAAAAAAAAGAGTAAACAAGTTTTTACTCGAGAAAACAAAAGTCTGTGATGGACAAATTATAGTCCTTATCAATAATATATTGTTTGTTATGAAAATTTTTTGATAGGATAAGAAAAAATATCCTGTAAATAGTTAACTGTTTTGCATCAAATAATTTTTTTTTTTCATTTTAATATGAATAAAAACACGTACAGCATATCTCACTTATCTGTAGAAAGATCTTGTGTGTTACAGCGACCTTTAAAAAACATTTATATTTTGCAAGAGTACGACAATATCTCGGCCAAAAAACGACAAGGAAAAAAAAAAGAAAAAAAAGAAAGAAGGAAATTAAAACTATGACTATCCATTCAATTTGGTATTCTCGAGTCTAAGTACATAGTCCTCATCTATCAACTCATAATTAGCTTGCATGCAATAATAGGAGACAAGACATCCATGTGACTTGCGTATTTCTTTCAATCCAAAATCACAATCTGTTTGGTGTGTAGTTGTGCAAAATTATAATCTGTTAAATCCGCAAATCTGCAAGAATATTACAGTCACGACAAAAACAATATTATATTACCATATCATTCAAGGGTGATACGATACAATACATATCTAACATTACAAAGACAAGTTTAATATGATAAACAAGTACGTATTATAAACATATTACAATTATATGTATCAATGCTCCACTTACTGTAATTACTCTACCAAAGTCCAACCTCCGATTATGCTTATCGAATATAATTTTATCATTTTTTTCATCTTCAGTATTTTATAATAACAAGATGTTCAAATTATGATTAATTACTTTTCTGTTATTTGAAATTAAATAAAAGAAGATAGATAACATCAAATAATGTATATTACAGACAAAATGTTAAGGGTGTGTTTATAAGATAGGTTTAAACCATTCTTGCCGTTTGGGTTTAAACAATGTTTTCTTTTACAAAAAAAATTTAAGGTCTTTTTGGAGAATGGGTTTAAAAAGTTCGGGATAGTTCTTTCTTTTATAAAATTTAAATTATAGTTCAAAACACTTGATTTGAGTCCACTTTCCAAACACGCCCTAATTCTTTGAGTTGGATTGACACCACACATATAATACATATAGAAGTTAGTATATGTATACTATTTATCATTTATATATTTTATATAATAATGATTTTGAAAATGTACAAGGTAAAATAAAAAGTTCATTAACCAATATTAATACGAAGTTTCTTTAGTAGGACCTAAAAAATGAACTACTAACAATTTCAGCCGTTAGATTTGTATTAAAAAATACGTATTTCGCATACTTTTTTAATTTGATGTGATTTTAATCAGCTCTAACGGTCAGAAACTGACACTACCGATAGAAAGTCTTAAAAAATAAGTCCCAAATTAATATACCTTTCTAAAATTATCGTTGCATAAAATAATGTCTTACTATACCCCAATTTCTACGCGTACATGTGTGGACTGGTGTCCTTCATGAAGGACTTAAAACGAACCCAAGTATTATATAAGACTACTCATTAGTATTAATTCATACAATAGGAGATAGCTAGAAGCTAAGAGATTGCAAGTGCAAGAACTATGTAAAACATAAAGAAGTATACAACAATATGATTTTAAAAATTTATAACAAAGAATTCATTTATTTTCAATTAAGATTATATTCCTTTCAAAGGGTGTTGTCATACAGATAAATTAATAGATAGGAACTAGCTATGGCTAAGAAATTACACCAGAAAATGTACTTCATGCATCATGATTACACTAGAAAATGTACTACATGTGCATCATACAGAATATAAATAATTCGTACGAACCCTATAATGATCCATACCATAC